AGCAGTAGTAGGAGCAGCACCAGCAGCAGTCGCAGCAGCAGCAGCAGGTATGAAAGCAACAATTCGCAGCAGTGAGAGGTACTGGCTACTAGTTAGAAGTAGTACGTCGTGGTGGTGGTGGTGGTGGTGGTGGTGCGGGTAGTGGTGGGTAGTGGTAGCAGCAGCAACAGAGATTGTCGGCATCGCCGTACTGGTACGTGATTGCAGCGGTGGCTGGCGAAGGCGTACTGGCATAAAGCGAGTTTGAGTAGTAGACATCCACTGCACAAAAACTGCAAGCTTGAAAGCGGGCCAAGGCGATGTTTCGACGCCTCAGGCGTAGTCGTGCCTTGCACGATGCCCACCCTTTTTTGTTTCAGTTTGACCAGAAAAGAAGCATGGCTCGACCAAGGTTTACACAAAATTAATGAACAGCAAAAAGTGGTGCTTTCTTGGGCAGGGAATCCCGTCAGCAGCCAGGAGTGCAAAGAGTGCGGAACCGACACGATGCAATTCTTAGGCGCCAAGAAAATGCTCCGAATTGCCCTCGGATACTTGGTCTGGAGAGCTGCCTGACATAAGCTCTGGACCAAAGTGACTCCAGCGACATGATGCTGGACCTTGGCTTTGGGTTGCCTGTTCGTGGATCGCAGCAACTGGTATGCTCGTCGTTGCGTCAGGCCGTGGACGGAAGCAGGGAAACAACGTCGAGGGGCTCCAAGAGATCAGGCTGCAATGCGCAATTTTGTCATGTTATGTCTAGAGAAAGCATGATGCCAAAGACCTTCTCTGCAAGGCCATGCTCTGGATCGCACTCTGCAGAATCAGCATATGCCACGAATGTCCTGCTATAAATAAACCGCAGGTCAAGGCGAAACCGAGGTTGAGAAGAACACCCGAGCATGCAAAAGGCCTGCACTCTGTGGAAGGGATTAGCAACGATAAGGCCTCAGCCGTCGAAGTACAACTCCACCATTGACGAAGTGATTGCTGCGTCAGATCTGCATGCCAAGACTGAGCACCCTTACATCATGCACGGGCGGAAGCAAACACGAGTCCTCGGCTTTCCGCCAAAGCAGTCCGACAGATAGCATAGCAAAACTCTTCTCGCGCGTGGAACTGTGTGCGATGGGGACGTAGGACTCAAACTGGCATAGACACGGGCATCTCAGCTCCATCCAGCTCGTCCCCACGCTGGCCCAACACAAGGCTTTCCTGCATAGGGTGACAGAAGCAATGCCTTACGAACTTTGTTGCAAAACAAAGCCTGAACTGCACCCTTACAGCGAGCTGTGGCAGCAAAAGCATGTATGCTCGTGCAATACTCAGAGCACATCGACCTCCAATACAAGCACAGACCATGCCCGTCTGAACGCGGGTAGCACTATGTAACATTACTCGCATGCTCTGCTTCATGGGGAATCGCAGCGATGGTGCTACCATGCCGCACATATGCTTGCTACCACTACTTGCTGTCGCCCGGAAATGGGAACGACAGTGCAGGGTATATTTCTAAAATCTGAATTGGGAAAATACCCACTTTCCATCAATGACACGCCACCATCTAGCATGCAAACATGATTTGCAGTACACTTGCTAGTTATTGAGCTCTTGTATTAATGGCGAGCATTTCATGAACAGATTCACGAGCTTGACGAGATTGTTGCCCAATTAAAGATAGAGCGAATGTAATGACAATCTCTTAGTAGCTAGTTTCCAATTCAATCTGCTAGCTATTGACAACGTGCCAATCACGAAAGAAACATCAATAGAATGCGATTACGGTATTTGTGCTGTACTAAGTCATAACATGTCAACTACATGATCCAATATAATACAGGCGAGCACAGTTGAATATATATATACATATATATATACATACATACATATATATACATATCTATATATACATGAAACACCAAAAAGACAAGAAACACCTAATTGACTTGAACAAGGCAGTAACCGCATACTGGCGAAATACCATTTAAGCATCATTAAATGTTTCATACATGCTCGGTATCTATCAATTATTGGTATTATCCTTTACTTGTGGTGAGCTAGCTTCTAAACGTTGCCTTACTATGCATAGTGCTTCAGGTATATACTCATCAGATATCGATCGAAAAATTCATGACTATCAAATGCCAAGCAATGTTGAAGAATGGATAACTACCAAACGAATATTTCAAGGAGTATTTATGGACATTTAACAGCACTATCAATAGATAACAGATATTGATCGATTGGGTTTCCTCACTGCATCTCTGATAAATCTACTCACTAATAGTGCTCACGACATGGCAACAACATATGTAACCCTATACTGAATGCAACTTAAACACCAAACGAATATGCAAATTAATGCTGAACATACTAACAAGGTGTCATTGAAGTACCAAGCAAATTATCAAAGATGTACATCCCCCCTCCATCACGTATCATTTAAGTAATAAACAGATGCCACATACTGAACATCATAGAATTGTTTGCCATTTAAATAAGATCCAAATGAAATTGACAACGTTGCTTGATGTTGTAATGGTCTTGTCCCATTACTTGTAAATTTCTGTGAATACCGGTGCTGGGTTTCCACAACTCACGAGAGAGCATATACATACCGTCAGAAAACCTCATCAAAGTGCGGGGATCATGAAAATCTCAAAACGCTGGGCACATGATCCCGCTTAGAACCGCGTTTCGGGGTATTCTTTACAACAACTACAATAAAGAACAGGAATGCATCGAAATTAAACTAAACAGCAAATCGATGTAGTACCTTGATAAATGAGCAGCAACATCCCCCCTGATCGTCCTTCGATATCTATGTTAATAATGACGTATTCTAGTCATTCAGGCCCGTAAACCACACGCTCCGAAACAAGATAATATGAATTTTCAGTCTAAGGGCCTGACGTATAAGGAACTTAGTATACATGAAAACACAGTAGAAGAGACGACATCACATACCGCACACAACAACAACGCAGCGAGAGATTTCCGGCCTGTGACAACTTCAGTTGCACTATATGCGTGTTCCCCCTACTCCCGAGACCCACCGATGATGATAGATCCCGGGGAGGGGGGTCGAGCATGCATATATATGTGTATATATATATATGTGTGTGTGTATATACATATATACACATATGTATATATATATAGAGAGAGAGAGAGAGAAATAGATCTACATTTTTCTGTATGAACTATATATACATACACAGACTCTCTCTCTCTCTCTCTACTGGTCAGAGGAGCAGAGCGGTCCTCTCTCTCTCTCTCTCTCTCTCTCTCTCTCTCTCTCTCTAGCTAGATAGATAGATAGATAGATATCCGCCGACCCCTCGCCACCCGAAATTGCACCGGTTTTTCACGACCTGACGTGCCGATGGCGGAGGTGTTGCAAGCGGAGAGGGCGGGAGAGCAGGGAGGGCAGGGATAAGGGCGAGAGGAGTACCAAGGACCGGGTGAGAGGGGGTAGGTTTGGGGAGCCGAGAGCAGGGGGCAATAAGAGCCTTGAAGCGAATCAAGTCTTCACGGGCGCCTCGCGCCCCCTCCCGCCCTCCCTGCCGGGGGACTCGTCTCTATGCTGTTGCTCCGTACCGTTTAGGCCCTACTAGTTTCTTGAAGTGAAATTTTAAGGTTCCCGCTCGCTCTCTCGCTCTTCCCGTTCTCCTCGCCCTCCCCGCTCTTCCCGCTCCCCGCCCACTCTCGACTCCACCCCCTGCTCCGAGCGGCCTGCTGCTGTCCCACAGCGCGCTCCGCTCCACCCCCGAAAGCCGCTCCAACCCCGAGCGCGCTGTGGGACAGCAGCACCGGAGAGCGTGCGCCTGAGGGTGCTTTGGCACTGCAGCAGGCCCCGCTCCAGCGATTCTTTTGGGACCGCAGCAGGCCCCTTCTGCAACTTCACCTTGTGCTGGGGCCTGCAAAGGCAGACTGTCTCTGCTGCACAGGTAGAACTGCACTTGCTTCTACGGGCCGCACTTGAGGAACTGCAACGCTCGGCACAGACACGGCAAACTGCAATTGCACTGCTTCCTGCAAGGTTGCTTCATGCTACGACAACTTCACCTCTTGCTGAAGAGGGGGCTGCAAGATGCTGGCCCTGCGCCCTGCTGGCTCTGCATCTGCTGTCTCTGCTAACTGGCTGCTACACCTGCATCCTCCTGTCTCTGCAACTACTCAACTCTATACTGACTACACCTCGCTCTGACCAAACTGCAACTACCGCCGTGTCTGCTGCAATGCCCTGCATGGGCCTTTCAAGCTGCAAAGACTGTCGGCTCCAAACAGTAAAAGCTTGCTTCCTCTGCAGCTGCCGTCTCTGCGTTGGTCAAAGCCTGCACAAAGCCTGCCCTGCTTACTACTTGCTACTTACTACTTAATTACTACTTACTGCTTACTTACTATCTACTTACTGTTTACAAGTGCTACTTACTACTTAATTACTACTTGCTACATACTGCTTACTGACTAATCATTTACTTGCTACTTACGTACTGCTTATTACTTAGTATTTTGTTACTTAATTACTACTTACTACTTACTACTGCTGCTATTGCTGCTACTACTACTACTACTCCCCCTCCTCCTCCTCCTGCTGCTGCTGCTGCTGCTGCTTCTACTACCACCACTACCACCACCACCACCACGACCACCACCACGACCACCACCACGACCACCACCACCACCACCACCACCACCACTTTACTAATCACTACTATCCTGGATCCAACCGACCAACCGACCCCCCAAAATTAATAACGCTTACCAATACAGGGGGGGGGGGGGCCACTGTTACAGAGCACGATTTACGATGAAACCTGCTCAGTTTTGGAAAGGCCAATGAAATCTTTCCACATCGTGTCACGTTTTGAGAAGTGGAAGACCGGATGCCTCATCTCATCTCCAATGTCCATTCCCGGCGTCGCAAATCACACCGAGTTCTAGTTTATGTAGGCCCGTTCAGAGAATGGCTAGCTATCCATAACTGTCCCTGCTTGCACTGGATCAGGGGCTTGGGGCTACCCAGCAGAGACTCTAGGCCCCAGTTTTGCCCTAAAGGTTCATCAGCGGCTTTGACATTGCCTTGGCCCAATCACGCTTTCATCTGCAGCTCCTGTCCTCCAGTGCGGCTGACAAGCGCTCTCTGTCTGTGTTCGGCTGCATGTACCTTCAGCAGACGGTCTGGTCTTGCATGCTAGCTGCGAGCAAGAGTTTTGCAAGTCACACTGCGGCACCCAGATGCGGGAGGAACTTGATGCTGCTGGTAGTCCAGGACCTCTGCATATGGGATGCGTGAAGTTTAAGAACTTTGAGAGTTGTCTTGTGCCAAATCCCTCAGGGCTCAGGGCACGGTGTCTATGGAGTGGGCTTCGGGATGTTTTTGAGAACTCAAGACAGCTCTGCTGCTTGAATCCTCTCTGCCGCCCAACCGGCTTTAGCCTCTGAATGCTCATCTCCTGAAACGGGGTATGTGCTCCTTTTGGCATTAGGGCCTTCAAGCAAGAAGCACCTTGCTGGTGTTCAATGTGCTCTCATAAGCCTCGTGCATACCGGGAGGTCATTCTGCCATGCACTTTGTCCAAGAGGCCCTCCCGAAATCGACCGCAGCCGGCTTCCTACTCGTCACACCGTCTCGCTCACGCGGAACTACTGCCCACTGTACACAGAGGACCCCTGCGCAAAAGCGCCGGTTTCGAAAGGGCCAGGGACGGATCCGGCCGGACAGAGAGTCAGGGTGCCAGCTTGGAAACACTAAGCGGGTCAAGATGGAGACAAAACACACCCTCTGAACACTTCCAAGGAAGAACAGCCACAAAAACAACGGTCTGCTCACCTTATGTCTCCAATGGTTGATGACGATCAGGCGACTTGCTTTCTCGGAGAAGTAGACAATCGCGCATGTTTGCTTCTTTGTCGTTTCCATGAAGAGTTCGTCCCGGCACCATTCAGGAAATGCGCGCCTCTCCAAGCACCAAACATGTTTTCATGTCGGATGCTGTTTTGTTAGACCCTAGCAATGGAACCTCTCAAATGGATCTCTTCGGCCCATCTGGTCGATACGGAATGGTGGGGTGGAGATGTCACCCCTCTTCCAAAGATTGACGTTGTGCTACTGCGCACAGATTTCTGCAAACAAGGAACTCATTAGAGGAAATCTGCATTCAGGCAAAACTCATCAAGACTCGTCAAAGAAACTAACGACAGCTGGCTGGTTCTGTTGAAAGCGTTGTGTATACATACATACATACATACATACATAGATACATGCATCCATCCATGCATGCATGCACACACACACACATATATATGTATATATATTCTCGAGAAGTGCTGGGGAAGCATTCAAGAAGTGACGACCCTTCAGTGAAACGCGCTGCCAGCCCCCGACGCAAAAGTGCAGCGGATTGCCCGTTTTAAGGCTGACGTCGGTTTCAACTGAGCAATACTGAGCACATGAAGATATAGAAAGCTTCAGCTCATTTCCGCTGTGCTACCACCTGGAGCGTCCTACAATTCAGCATGCTACCTCGGCAACTAGGACTAGGATGTCCCACAAATGTCCGAGCCAAAGCAGCCCTGCGAGCCTCCGTGCATCCTGCAGTCTGCGTGCGTGTGTTAAATGCTGTTTCTTGGCGCGCCAAGTCGAATCTCCTGCACATGTGTCATGCATGCCACTGGCCGCATCTGCAAAGGTCAGTTATGGTCAGTTTTCGACACAACTCTACAGCAGATTCCGTCGTGACCATCTCAAGGCTGTTCCAACAAGAACTTGTTCCAGGATGCAGTAGCGGCACTGCAAGCAATGAATCTGAACCAGGGGTGGTCGCAAGCCAGGTTGTGCCAGCAATACATTCAGCAATACAGCTCAGAGGCTCAGTGCAGAGCTTTGAAATCAAGTCGAGTGTTCAGCTCTGCTGGTACAAACTCCTCGAAGTTATCCAGTTGCGTAACCTGCTGGAAGCGCAGTTTGCAAGATGCCAATGCTTCAGACTTCTGGTCGCAAAGAGGACGGTGTGTGTGCTCAAGCCTCTACAGGCTGCCGCTCTTCTGCTGAGAATCCAGACCTGTCATGTTGGTTAACAGGATTGGAGCAAGAACGGTTCTTACGACCAACTTGGTGTCCGACGTTCGTGTTGGAGTTTGGAAAGGTAGGACGAAATCCTTCGGAATGTGAACCTGTAAGCGTCAGGCGCAGACAGACGTTGACAACTTGCGAGATTTGCTGAGGTAACGACACTCGGCAAAGTCCCTTCAGTCTTGTTGTCTGCACCTCCAAACCACATGTGTCCAGCATCGTAGTGCTGTGGTCACGGCTGCTGCAGGGCCAAAGGCCTTGCCTTTGACGGGCTTTTGGGGCGCTTTTTCTGCTTTCACCAGCGTTCCAGAAGCAGCTGCCTCCAGGATGCCACGAGATGACGAGATGCTCCGCAAGATGTGTTATTCAGAGCATGAGAAACTGCCCACTTGGATGCACTTAGACTTATGACAAAGGTCCACCGAACCGAATGCTCGAGCACGCGCTCGGTTCGGCTGACGTACATGTGTTCCAGAAATTGACTTCACACGCTCGGCTCGGGTTCCGAGCGACGTGGAAGCCGAAGGACCTCATGACTCAAAACCACTGCCGATGAAAAAGGTGAAGCTTGAATCCGCACAGCATTGCTGTGTCGTGCCAGCATGCGAAGAACACCATCTTGGAGGTTCTCAGAACATTTGACACACGGTTCCTGTCGACAACAAGCAGCCCACAAGCTTTTCATGATTTTGCATGATTCAACAAGTTAGACCACATCGCGTGCTCGAAAGGACGAAGACGACTTTACGATCTGAAGTGATCGTCAGATTCACAAAGATCAGCACGTGTCATCATAGCATAACCTGTTTCCCATGGACTAAGTATGCATGCAATGTTATGTGTGTCGGCACGTGTACATACATGTATGCATGCATGCATACATACACCATACACGTGCACATGCATACACACGTACCTTTAGTACAAGTTGTATGTATAAATATCATCAAACCCGTAAATCTATGTGCATATACATATATACATACATACATACATGCATGCATGCATGCATACGTATATATATATGCACATGTGTGTATGTGTGTATATGTATATGTATATGTATGTATGTATGTATGTATGTATGTATGTAATGTATGTATGCATGCATGCATGCATGCATGCATGCATACTCTCGTTGTGTTGTCTGTCCCAAGGTTTTGGAATCCGATGCCGCTATAATAAGTCCAAACAGGACTATTCCCAACATAGAATGCCAACTCTTGATGCCCCGTAGCCCGATGCATTGCGCCGACTGTAGACCGCAAAGTTTCGTACTACTGCTGTAGTTCCTGAGGCACGTCATACTGCTGCCCAAGTGTGACTCATTATCATGGAAACGAGGAGATCCTTGACAGCTAGGCGCATTTTATGCCAGTGGTCTGTCAGAAGGTCCATTCAGGTCCCTACCACCGGTCTGGACCTCACTGCAACCTAGGAAATTTTGTTACACTTCATAGGACTTTGTTTTCACTGCCTTGTGGATTTCTGAGGCTTGCCGAATGCATTTTGTCACTGAGAGCTGTTGACTATGAAAACCTGGTATTACCCGGTCATAAATGCGCGTACCGCATTTAGCTTTGCTATTGTGCAACATTTGCCCGTGCCCCATGTCGAGCAGGTGGTTCGTTTAGTGGCTTGCGCTCTGAGACGCTGTGGCCGGTTGCTTATGTGCCGAAGTCTGAAATGATAACATGTGTTTCGCAACAGGGTCTTCTCTATGTGTACCATCCCGCGACTCTATCATACTCTGGGGCTGAGCCGGCCTTGTTTTCGGCTTCAACCCATGCCTGATCAAGCAGCAGCAGCCGTGGCAGGAACGAGGCACTGACAGCGAGAGCAACCGCAGGAGTCCTTGCAGCTGGGTTTGTCGAAAACTCCCGCTTCGTTCAAAGCCTCACGCCAGCGGCAAATCTCGCAAAGGTGTTTGCGTGGCGACTGCATGGGCTCGCCTCCTGCAGCAGCTGCAACCGCTTTTCTGCCCGCAGGCGCATTAAAACCTGAAGAACAAAATCAGGCAGAGCGTGTTTACATGCTGGACACGTATTCGTGTGTTGGCGCGTGTGCCTGTGGTTCTAAGCACCAATTATAGCCAGAACCAACGCAGCTAACAGAGTAAATGTCGAAAGGACAAGACCTGCATTCCTCGGCATGGGCGACGAACAAAAGCAGCGGTGGACATCAGATCTGAGTCGTGCAATTCACGCCGAGTCAGTCCCGTCACTTATTTATGCTATCTCGCGACGATCTTAAACGTACATTTCGGACAGTGGGCGCATCCTTCACTTGTGCCATCTTGTGCCCCGCGGCGTGGTCCTACTTGTGCCGCTCAGACCCGTCGCTTCTGACCCTCCAAGCTTTGCATGGCCTTGCTCCAAAAGCACTCACATATACTTCTCCATGACCCACGCCTTACGATCTACTTCTTCCGGTGTAGGGGTTGGGGGATGCACTCATAGGGTTGTCGTGTTGGGTTCACTCTTTTGGGTTTTGGGCTTGCGGTTCAGCTTCCATGTTTCGAAGCTTATGTCCGCTCAAGTAAGGCAAGGCTTCACTCAGCATCACTCAGCAGGTCCAAACCCAGTCCAACTTGGACAACTCGACAAAGCATCGAAAATTACGTGAGCGGCAACCAACAAACAACGTCTACAGAAATAAGGTAAGGAACCCAAAAGCGGAGACACAAGATTACTGGATCCTGACATGCGACCGGATTGCAAGTTCCCGAAGCAGGACTAAGCAGGACTACCATAGGGTTTCGAATGGGGTTCATTCCTTAGTGTTTTCGCCTTCGGCTTTAACTTAGGATTCTGGGCTTCCGGTTTTTGCTCGTTAGGAAGAACATAGAGTTCTGCAAGCGAATGAGTCAAATGTCTCAAGACTCTTCGGCTCAGTCTGTGTTTGGTACCAAGGATTGTGCCACAAAAGGTCTGACCCTTGGCGGCTCTCGCTGGTCAATGCTTGGTGTGCCTTTTTTGCCAAGGGCTTTGCGGTCCTCGGGGAACTGTAGTGACCCTGGACCAACATCTCCGTGTTTTCGCTTCGAATTGATGGAGGGTGGGCTCTCTACTTCGTGTACAAACAAGTAGCTGTGTGGACCGCCATCTCGGCGTCCTTACTGCCGGTCTCTGCGAGAATGCGAAATATGGTGTTGCGGCAAGCCGTGCTGTTGCAAGGAGCGCTTCCGCCCGGGGTCCGCTTTGGACCCCGCACTTCAGCAGTTGCCAGTAAGCGCTGCTCCCACCATCTGGTTGGGCCAGGCCCGCGGGCACCGAACTACCAGAAGCAGGTGAGGAACAGGCACTGGGAGCCAACGACTTGGTCCTGAAGTTCTTGGCGGGTCCAACCTGATTGGACCCAAACAACACGTGTCGATCGGCATGGCCTCTGTATCAAGCCTGGACGCCGCGAAACTGTCGAGAGGCCGACGAAGTTCATCTTTGTCGCTTTGATGATTGTGCCAGCAAGTGGAGTTTCATTGCAAGGAGTATGCTGCGATTGATGCTGAAGTTTGTATCGGCCTGGGTGCCTACGGCCGCATCAGCGGCCGTAGAATGCTGGTACTCTGTTGGCGGGGTTTGCTGCCGTGTCACCGAGGTTTGGGACGAATCCTCTTTTGCTGCTCGTGCAGTCGAGTTCCTGGTAGTGAAAGGCTCTAGATCCGGACTCCGAGTCGGAGGCCGAGCACGCACCTGAGCCGTGCGAAGTTTTGGTAGGATTGGAACTGCAAGGAAAAATACGAGCACTGGCTCCCGAGGGTTGCGAAGATTGAGCCGCCTTTGAATTTATTCAAGCAAGGAAACGGGACCCAGTCTGCGCGGTTCGAGGGGCAAACGCCTTCCGATCCGCCGAACCCAGGCCGGGATTTTGGCCTCAGAGTTTGAATTTCTCACAAAAGCAAAGCGGTTGTCGCAGCCTAGACCGGGTGCCCCTGTTCTGGTTCCAGCCGGAAAGCTTCGGCCCTCTGCTGGGTTGAGCGATGCAACATGTTTTTTTCGCCGTTCCTGCCGGGCTCCTCCCGGAAGAAGCGGAACGGTACCACAACCGGGGAAGATTTGGGAAAACACCAAAAGTACCAGAGTAGGGGGGAGAGCGCTTTTGGGTAGGGTGCCACCCAATCAATGACATGCGCGGGCTCGAACCATCCGCCTGATCCTCAACCTCGCCATCATGCAGTGGAACGCCAGTCGCTCAGGCAGAAGGCCAGACACCCAGGGATAAACGCTTTGAAATGGCGTCTTTTGATGCTTCAGGATGTCCCAGAGTTTGCAGTGCATCTCGCCGGACTTATCCTACTCAGCCTAGCCGGTTCCGCCACCTCGATCCGAGGTTTAACGACGTGGCGCCCTTCGAGTCCAGATGGTTGATGGGCCATAATGGGCCTGTTCTTGTTCCCCTTGCCCCGATCCGCCTCCAGCCTGGTGTCCAATAGTGAAGATGCCATCCTCGATGAGCTCCATGTAGTATCACGATATCATCCCCGAGATTCTTTCTCCGATGCACACTGCAGGCTGCACTCAGATCATCCGCGGCTCCCTAGAACAGGTTCCGTAGGGCCGACACCCAACAACGCATCAAAACAACATCGCAAGCAGCAACCCACTGACCCCCTGTTACATTTGGGTCATCCGAGGCCTCAGTAAACAAGTGGAAAGAAAAAGAAGTGCCGCTACGAGTTGCTTTAACCCCCCCCCCCTAATACAACGATAAAAATGCTAAACTGCGCGTACGCAAAGAAGCTCTATGGTAGCAGCTGTTAGAGAATTACGCGGAGTGAACATCGTCTCTTTCCGACGGGAAAGAAAGCCTGGGCCCCATAATAGGCAGGTGCCAGGAAAGAAAGCCATGGGTTGTCACTCGGTTGTTACAAGTTGCACGAGGCCCCGGAACAGGAACTCGGTCGGAGCGCAGAGGGAGTTAGGTACACAGCCAAAACAGCAGCCACAATTAATTACTCCCCAAGCCGCAGCGTTTTTTGTTACAAGGCCGGCGCACGTTCGTAGTTTCCCCCACCGCGTCTGCTCAAGGAAGTCTCCCTCGTGGTTCGGCATGCGTAGGCTCGCCTTCACCGTAGGGTATCTGTTCAGAGTGTCCGCCACACGCCCTCGGAGAGCGATGCCTTGCTGTACCGACCTTGACGATCTCTGTTTACCGGACCTGCGGCAGGAGGTGCGCGCAGTCATTGGCCACGATCCCCTGCAATTGCGCGGCAGACGGATCCTTGAACCACTCACGGCTTGAGCCTAAATTCAAATCTCGTGCTTGCTTGCTTGCTGGCTTGCCAGGAGTTTAAAGGCTGCGAACAACCTCTTGGAATTTATATCTCTCTCTTTGTCTCTCTCGCCCCGTCTCTCTACAAACATGCGATGCACTCCGATCG